TGGACTAGATGGCCCACAGAGGTCCCTTCCAACCCCTACTATTCTGTGATTCTGATTCTGTGATTCTGTGAGACCTGCAGGAGGGCTGAGATGCCGGAGGGCCAGCGAGCCCTCGCTGTTAACGAGCACAGGGTTCTCCAGCCTGACATGACCGAGACTTGGGGCTCGTGGAGGAGACAGAAGGACTTTGAAACAAAGAGTCTTTCAGGCCACCTAATGCAGTATAGATCCAAGAGGACAAATCGAATTTACAGGCATAGCTTAGACTGGGAGATACGCGTGCAAAGCCAATTTGTTTCATTTTATAGGCTTGAAAGATTCTAAGTCAGGGGTCCCTGTATGGTTTGAATTAGGTTTGGGTAGCGGTATTATGGAAAGCTAGATCTGGAGTGATTTTTACTCGGGGCGTTTGTAATTGAGTAGGGGCCATCTAGCATTTCTGCAGTGCTTTCAAATAAAATATTCCATGTCTGCCCAAAAACAAAGCTTCCGCATGGTTAAGAATATTACAAATACCTGAACATGGAGGTATCTATCTTGTATGAAATATTTAGGAATAAGATTCCACACATGTATCAACAGAGAAAGTGGGAATTGCAAAGGGTGCTGCTTTAAAAAGAAAAAAAAAAAAAAGGAAGGAAGCTCTAAGTAGCACCAAAAAATGAAATATTTTTCTCTACCAGCTGGTGTCTGTGCTACTAACAAAGTTAATAGCTTTATTGTCTATGACTGTGCAAAACATAAAAGTTGCAGGGAGCTGCTGTGTGAAGCCTCAGCAGGGACAATGCTTTGTCGGGCAGGCTGCAGGGTCCAGTGGGGAAGGTGCTCCCCTAGGCCCCGCAAAGGGCGCAGCCGCTTTATTCTGAGGTTTCCGAGGGACTATGCTCCGGCTGCTCCTGTCTCTGTGCAACCGCCTGAGAACCAGAGCCTCTGCCAGTTCCTACAGCGAAAACACTGTGTGGCAGAGCAACGCACCACAAGCTTTTCAGTTTCGGCCCTCCTCCCTTATGCTCCTCTCACGGCGGGGTGACTCTCCCAGCCCTGCTGCAGTCATAGTTCTGGTGCTTCACGGCTCTCGGGAACGGGGCAGCTGCCCTGCCCACGCAGCCGTGGGGCCCCATCCCCCGCCGTCCCGGGGTGCCTGCTGGCCCGACCGCGGGGGTTTGGTTTCCGCCATCTCGCCCAAGTCCCCGGAGCCATGGCACTGTTCCCTGTGAGGAAGGACAGCCCTGGAGCATCGCCTAGGCCACGGTGTTTTGAGGTGGTCTGAAGAGGGGCTTGGCCGCAGGGCTTGTGGACGGTGGGTCTGGGGCCTGGCAGCGTCATCTCAGCATCCTGAGATGCTTCCAGCGCTCGTCCCCGGGCCAGGACCACCTCGCGCTCCGTCTCGTGCTGCTTGGCTGCGCGACTCGAGCGACCAGCGTCTTCCTCCTGAGCTGGCAGGAATCTGTTTTGCCCCTTCTCCAGCGCAAGGGGCCACCGTGGCTCCCCAGCCGTGAGCTCTGGGGTGCGCTTTGTGCCCTGCGAGCCGAAAGCAGCAAGAAGACCATTTGAACAGAGGGATAAGCCCCTGGCTCCCACTGCTGAGCTCAGCTGCCAGAAAAGTTCCCCGGGAATTAGCACAATCTTTGTTTGGTCATTAAAGCAGAAAAAGAGAGAGGGAATCTTAGGAAATGCTTGAAACGATTAGGTGATCTTAACTCTAAGGAGCTAAACAAATGCAAAGCAATTCCCCCCCCCTGCCCCTCGTGCTGCTGTAGAATGTAATCTCATTTCTAAACACACAATTACAGAAAATAAAAAGAAAAGAAAAGAATAATTAATTTCTGCTTCCTCATGCAAATCCTCTGACCAATCATTTAGGGATCAGGGGCAATTCAGCTTCTTGTGCAAATTCCAAACTGAAGGCCTGAAAAAAGCAAGTGAATGGATTTACTTTTCTAAGAACCAGAATTAACAAAGGTTCCATTTTCCATGGTTATGTGCCTGGCCAGACAGCCCTTGCTGACAAGCTCTCAAAAAACATGTGTTGGCCTGTTGAAAAGGCCCCAGTGTTGACTGACAGACAATTGAAGTGACAAATTGTTTCATTGTACTTGGCAGGGAGAGCGCTGTATTAGATAATTATGGCGCGGAGGGAAGCAACAGGTCACAGGTCAGAAGACATGTCTGACCCTGTTTTCTGAAAGCCCTGAAAGGAGCCTGCACCCCGGAGAGCAGCGTGACGCTGCTGGCAGTTTCTCTTTCCGTTGTCATGATTAAGAGCTAAGGAAGATGGAGCAGGGATGGGCTCACTCCCTGCTTGCCCCGGTCCTGGCTCCCAGGAAGCGGGTGCTGGGGTTCAGTGGCAGCTTGGTGCCACGTGTCGGCACGCGGTGCCATGACGGTGAGCTCTCCCATGGCGCCCAGTGGCAGCCCAGTGCTGTGCAGGGGCATGCGGTGCTGCGACGGCGAGCTGCCCCGTGGCGCCCGCTGCCCCTCGCCTGCTCCAGCGGTGCCC